CTACAGAGACGAGCCCTGTCTGTATGCGGGTCATTAGCGCCAACGCCGATTAACCACTCCCTCGTATAATTACCACCGTGTTAACATGACTGTTATCTATCCCTCCTCCTCTAAATACTGTGTGATGCCGTACGATACTCACCTCCGATTATGAAAGCTTGTCTGCTTTTAAAACGTCAGGCCAGTACAATCATGGTTCCCGAGATCGCCTCTGCTTCGCATTTATGTCTGGGGACTCAAATCTTCGCTTCTATTAGCAATATATATACATATAATGGTAGGAGGGCATTCACCGATCGTTGGGTATGGCTGAATGTTAACGGCTAATAAATCAGAAATGGCCACTCCAATCTCTCTTGTCTTTGTCAGTAATTTTATTCGGCATGTACATATATGTTCATGCAGAACGGGCAACGAGCTCGTGGCCCAGTGGTTAGAGGCGTGGACTTCTAACTAACAGGTCGCGAGTTCGAGCCTCGGGTGTTCCACACTTCGGGATTGGGTATGACTGACCGATGACGGTTTGTAGGCCAGAAATGGCCATTCCAGTCTCTCTTGTCTTCGCCGGTTATGCCATATAAATGTACAGTAAACATCAACAATTGCGAGGGAGACTAAGACGGGGATCAGCCGCCGCTAATCAGTTATGCTCAACTTGCGACAGCAGGGGGAAGAACCAGGTTGCGCTTCTGAGCACGAACTGTAGCCGGTCCTCCTGCGACAAACGAATCTTAAAAGTTAAATTTTCGAAAGGACGCCATCGCATTTAGCCCTGTCATGCTTAAATGACTTTATAAGCCATTTTATGTGCCAGGACGATTTGAAAATTCTGTCCCCTGTGCGCTGCTCGCATTCACATTAAATGCCTCACCACAGCCGTAATCAAAACTTTTTTTGTAGAAAAATGCCAAAAGGCCGCCAGACCAAGGCGGAGCGCACAAAGCTACCTCGCGGTTTACTTCCCTCAGTTGAATCCGGTGAAGCAATTGACAATGACTATCTGATGCAAGTTGACATGCCTACTTTATTCTGTTTCATTTTCCGTAGATGCCTATTTGCTTGCAATAAAAGGGCGCTCACTGCAGTCCAAACTGTTATCGATGACATTTTGGATGATGTGGCAGAAGAACTCTACCAGAGACATCTTAAAAGACAACAAATTCCCTTTTCTGTCAAACTTGCAGCTCAGGCCATTCTGGAAATTGTCGAGGTTTTCTTTCCTTACACCATTTAAAAGTGTTGGTTTTTAGTGCAACTTTCTCACAATTCAGTCTTTGGAGAGTGGAGAAGAAGAGGATGAAGGTATGGTTTTCATGGACGTCTCAATGACCCCTCTTGAATAATTCATAATTTAAAGATATCCACCAGATCTGGATGGTTTATGTTTTTATCAGGGTGAAATTGATAAATTGTTGACGTAATGTCTGCAGAAGATACTGTAAATCAATAATATTTTGGCATCCACATCGGTTGTCTATCGCCAAAACAAACAAAATAGCAAATATGCACGGCAACTCCTGGTGTAAGCTCCTCAGACAGACAAAACGTAAGGTGACCAGCGCACGTTGTAAGTTTAGTCCCAGTTAACTTTTGTTAAACACTGACGACTGCCCGGTTTGCAGCGGTTAATCAACCTATGGAAAGCTCACTCGTAACACGGTAGAGCTCGTCCGTTTTTCTTTTCTACGAGGAGGTCACTTAACTCCGAAATTATCGTTCAAATCCAGTCTGCCGCTCTCCGTTAAATCATCGGT